ATATATATATATATATATGCATATTAAATTTTTTTTCTCTTATTTATTTGTGGTGCTCATATATAGTAATATACTATTTGTTTAATCTAGAAGGTACTAATACAGTAGTCTCACGTCTACTAAAGGACAAAGCAATGAAGAGAATAGTGAAGGACCTAGTAATAAAGCTATTGTTTTTTCAAGAAACCTTGAGCCTACAATAGTGGTAGATTTTGTTAATGAGGATGGTGATTATGAAGAATTATATAGACCATCACAAAGTGATGAAGATAACCATGAAATGATAAAATTTCCAAAGTTTAACATGCTCATGGATGGTGGAAAAAATAGTTTACAAGTTTACAAGGATGAAGGATTATATTACTTACACTCCCTTATTTTTTTTAATTGTAATAAGTTTACAAGTTATAATTAAAATTGTTTCAAAATACACCCACCATGTAGCTTATTAGCATATTCCAACTAAAAGAGAATGAGGTGGTTTAGGGTTTCAAAATTTGCTAACATATGCTTTCTTCTTTATTAGAAGTATTTTAGCTACAATTTTCTTAAAATTCACCAATGATCTATCAATGTAACTTGCCGTATGTGAGAAGTGCATACCATTTGAACAAAGTTATCATCAATGTACCTAGTATCAACAGGAACAAGCATCGAGGTCTAGAACAACTGGTAGATAGCTTGATTCCTTAGCCATGTTAACAGATATTCGATTTCCTGACCGCAAAAAAGGCTGAACTCATTTTAATAATTTTTTTAAATAAAACGTAGGTTCTGATCTGACTATTGGTTTAGAAATATCTCTGATTCTCACACTAAAAAAATATATTAATGGGAACATTTAAAGAATAAAAAAAAAGAATACATCAATCAAACGTACTTATCAAGCACTACACTCACATCGATAGCAAGGAAAAATTCGAACAGATGGAAGGAAACGTACTCATCTTTCCAGAAGTAGTTCTGAACCTTATCAGATCTTACTGCAATATGAACAATTCCCTTTACAAAATAAATTAACTACAATTATTAATTATAAAATCATCAGTTTTGTTATGTGTTCATTTATAACAAAATGTTAACATACGTTGAAATATCTACTGTTGAGTGTTGATTATTGATTGAAATTACTTTACATTTACGTTAGAGGATCCAAATCTAACTTTATCAATCAACATTTACAATGAAATAACTCATTGTTCAAAGTATATTTGGCTGCATTACAATTTTTTTTTATTACGTTATACTAGCTACTCAAAGAATTATCAGATATTACACAAATTATATACAGCATGAAGCTTTTTCTCAAATAAAAAGATGCATAAAAACAATTCCTATAAAATTTTCTCAAATATTTGAAAATTTTCATTTTTTCAAAGCCTTTTCTCATCATCTGGTAGGCAATTCTCCCCACCGCTGGTAGTTCCTTCAAGCCACTCCTCCAACTTAGCTTGTTTACTAGCTTTAAAGTCATCAAATTTTTCTGATAGTGAAAATAATTTATCTCCAATATCACTTAGTTCAGGTTGAGATTCATCTTCAATATGGCTTGGTAGGGTCTTCTTGTCAGTTTGTGAAGGTGAAGTAGTATTTGCAGAAATATCTGGCAATGACATGCTATGGTATAGCCGTGGCTTCTCAGCTTTGGAATTTTCGGATGCGGTAGAATCAAGCTGTGGCCACTTGAGACTGTTAGTCTTCTGTTTTGAAAACTGGAAAACACTTGAAAAATAGTTACCCCTTATTTCACTTTCCTCCTGGGCATAATCTGCAGAGTTAGCTCTCTCTCTTGGAAATTTTGAGATTGACCGGTGGATTGGTGCTCCTTTCGATCGCTTACTTGTTATTGTTACAAGGGATTTTTTAATGTCTCCGATCATCTCATCAGCTATGGGGAATCCACATTCTTTCATAGATTTCACCATTGTGACGGAGTCCTCCAAATCTTCTGTGTGCAAAGTTGTATCATGGGACTTGTCAGTGACCTTGTTCTGAAGTTTGATGACACTAGGCACTGCATTTTGTGTGTGCTGTTGGATAAAGAAAAGACCAGCAGACGGTTCATTAGCCACGTATTTGATCATCTCTGCCAAGCAGTTGCTTATCTCCACAAAACCATCGACAGTGGAGAATCCATGCATCTTCCCAGAGACAAAATATTGTTCATCACTGGCATTGTTCAGAAAAGAAACAACATCAGAAAATTATACCAGGGTAAACAAAATTGAGTATAATGTCAATCAGCAATTGCTGATATAGCAGACTAATTTACATAACCACTGGTTTGATGCATTTCATTCTAAGTCTGTCCTAAATCATACAGTACTTTACCCTGTAGCAAATTAACAACTACAGCAAAATGGGTCACATTGAGCTTGTCTGAAGCACTATTGTGCTGCATCAGATAGTACATGCATAATATCTTTTTTAAATGGTATGTTAATTTTTGCACTTTTCCAGTTCATTTATGATTGGAATGGAATTGAAACATTTTGGTTACAGACAGAAAATCTTCAAACTTTAATCCACCAATTGAAAACGGCTACAATTGCAGTGACATCTGTCAGTAAAAATGAAGAAAATGATGAAATGTTTCCCAGGGATATGGGCACAACCGCACAAGTATCGGTTTTTTGTGGGTATGGGTATGAGTATTGGCAAAATTTCTAAAGTTGTTATACAGGATGGGGGGATATATCATACAGAAAAAAAAATGTACATAAATAATTAAAATCATAATCAAAATGTAATTTTCACAATCTTTTAGCTCAAGTAAGTAAAAATATTTAAAGGCAAGAGTTTGAAAGAAGCAAACTAGCAGTTTGTTTCATAAAGTAATAAACCAAACAACTTGGCAACAAACTCGGTGTTATACATGGACTGATTTATTCTTGAGTGGTAATTGAGTTACTGGGTACACAACCATAGGTACCCGATAAGGACACGGTGAAGGTATCAGTACAATTACAATGTACAACAATTATTAAGGAGTACCCATGCATGCATCATAGATGGAGAGAGCAGCAATGTGTCTGGTAATGGGATGGAATTGAAAAGAAGTAGAAATATGACATCCATGTATAAGGGAAAGAAAATAATAAAATGATTAGCTGTAATTAAATCATGATAACTTCTACCCCACATACAAGAAATAAAATAAACTCGTAAAACTTATTTTGTCAACAAAGAGCAAACGATATCAAACAAAGCATATCCCCACAATAACATATCCAATTTTTCTTGTTTAAATCTTCTGTAACAAATTGGAAAGTTGGAGGCCATACTCAGTTTACTATAAGGAAACAGAAAAAATAGCTATAAATATCAAAGCAATAATAGCATACTTCACAAATGTTTGGGATAAGAACTTTATGAGGTCTTCTCATCAGTAACAGATCATCAAAGTTTTTCTTACTTGTTCCTATAGACAAATCAACTGTTGAAAGAGAGTTAGGCTCCCAAGATGAAATTGACAGGTAGATATCAAATTTTTAAGGGGAAAATATACTTTACCCCCTGTAATATAGACCTTTCACAGCTAACCCCCTAAAGTTTGGGTAACATTGAAAATTTTCAGTTAAATCAAAAGTCATTTACATTCATCCACTTCTTTCATTTTCACACCTTAGTCACCCAATCCAAGATTCAATAACTATGGACTCTCCAAGAGCAGGAGTAATTGTTTATCTAAGCATACCCACCTTACCTTGTCCTTTCAGGAAATAAATGATATAGGAGCTAATTTCATCGGAGAAAGGATTTGTTTTATTAATACTGGAAGATAATGGGAAAACACTATGCAGGGAAAAAGAAGTTTAGGGTGAAGGCTATGTGTCAGAAGAAGCTCTAGGTGGTATATTGATATGAATAAATTGACACTCAGATGCTGTTTCTTTTCAAACCCTCTTCCAATTTCTCCATTCAATTCCCCTTCTCTGCTTTACTGTTTGTTTAGATGGTTAAACTTAAGGGCTATTTGGTGACTCATCTGATATGGTGCAATGCAAGGCATGTGTTAGAGGTGGAGCACCTAGCAGCAGTCACCAATATTCATCCAGTTTACTATAACTAAACAACCATTGGATAACCTCACTTACCGACACAGACCCAGCCCAATACACCTATTCAGAACCACGACAGAAATCAAGCTCACCTTAAGACTGCTTAATCAATAACTTAGCATTGTCTACAAGCATCTCATACCACAATATGCAGCAAAAGCCTTCTTCAACCAACTACAAGAACTATTGTGCCACAGTATAACAATCCAATCAGATACCTCATCACCATAAAAAGCCATCATGGCTTCAACTATGGAAGTTGCTGTGGAATAGGTTGGAATGCATAAAATGTAGGAGACAGATTTATCATTAACCATTGTTCCTTTTCCTTTTGATGTAATGGAAAATTCTGAGTTTTATCATCAACCAAATATGAGATAGATTTTTTGTTAGCAAAAATACTTTAGGTTGCTCATGAAAGGCATATATCACGCGGTAAAGTGTACTGTGACCCAATAATAAAGGTGGAGAGACATTCAAACTCCCTTCATAAATCATTCTTTCTTCCTCCATCCCTCACCCTTACCCTCTTCCTTTCACACAGATCCCTAGTCTAATCTCTACTATTTGAAAGTAACCAGTTCCGATGATTCTCTAATTCACATTGTCTCTGACATAAACATCCAATAAAACCATAACAGGTTTGTATCGTGTTTCAAATTTGTTATTTAGAAAATAATCTATTTCTTATAAAGAAACCATGAAAACGACATACTTCAAAATAGAGAAACACAGCCCTATTCCACACAAGTATAGACAAATAAATTCCCTTGAAAACAACGTAGTACAACCAGGAAATTATATTCTATGATCATGCATGTTACAATCAAAAACATAAGAGAACATATAAAAAATCAAACACAAATATTGTCGAGGGCCAAACCGTAGATAGTTTCCTTTTCAAAAAACCAAAATTGAGTTACAGAGAAGGTTATGTTGTGCCATTATTTTAGGAATTAAAAATTATGGGGACCCTTTATTATTTTTAAATTGGTAATCAAAGTTAACAAAGAAGGTACCAACAAAAATCTCATTGATTTAACTCCTATCTAGTTGTGCAGTCACAAAGGGTCACCGTTGAAAAAAAAAGCCACCCACAAATGCAACCTATGCCTGATATAAGAGTTGGGTTACATAATATCGACCCATGAAAGAAAGAAGGATTTTTGGTCATTTGAAATTGAAATAAGTGCATGATGATTATGAAGAAGAATGAAAAACCTAAGCACCACATTGAACCCAAGATTGGATCATGAAGGAGAACAGAAACCCGTCCCTCACCTTCTCGTCACTCTCTTCGTCGCCGATTACAACCTCTCCTCAATTTTGCCTTCGATTCAAATTGGGTCTCCCAGCCGGAAATTGCCTTCAAATTTTGTTGAGACATGCTTTTGGCATTTCTTTTAATAAAAGAAGAAATCACTTCGAAAAAACAAAAATAACTAAGGGGGTGTATTGGATTAGGATTTTAAAGGACTTTTTTAGTGAAAAAAAATCCTGCGGATTTTAAAAGACTTTGCAAGATTTTCATGACTTTTAAGATTTTGTAGGATTCTACAAGATTTAAAATCAGGATTTTAATTGATTCTACATGACTTTTAAATCAGGATTTTAATGGATTCTGTGGGATTTTGTAGAGTTTTGACATTTGATAAGATTTAAAAAAAAATTCATACATTCAAATTTAAAAAGAGTCAAAGATAAAAATAATAAAAAAAATAATAATGTCTAGATAAATAATAATAATAATTCTCCATAATATTCTATCATCTTTTTATAGCATCCACTATCAATTGTAACAATTCATCGGAATCCTCCTTGGTCCAAGCTTCATAGTTTTCTTTCTCTTTTCCTTTTTCTTTATTATTTCTATGTGAATCTCCCATTTGAATTACTAAAATAATATATGTTGAAAACTAGTTATATAAATAATTATGGATAAGAGACAAAATCAATAAAATTATATTATTATTTTTAGAAGCACACCAATTATACAAGATCGAATATATCTTGGCTATCCAAATGGATCAAATATCTCAATCATTATAAAA